CCTGTCACGTGACTTTAGTTACGTTTTTAATTTTCTCTACATATACGACGACCTGTCTCAAAATCGCTTTTCATTATTTACTCTCTCGATCTTACTGATTCAATTCGACTCGATCAACCAACCAACCAATCGGCAACGCGGAAAAGAGGCAACAATAGATGCGATACATTCGGCTCCAAAACGCGCACTTCTCGATCCAAATGCCCTTTTTTATATAGAAAATCAAAAACTTGACAAACATCTTGTACCTGTCAAACGTGTATTTTTGACAGTTCGCGCGATTATATATGTGTGAGATACATAAAAGTACTAGCGCGTGCGTATGTAGAGCGCGTATGTCGTATCTAATTAATGAAATTTCGCGTAAATAAAGTTTGCCACGTCATTGAAATTGTCGAAATGTCAGTAACGTCCAGACTTTTGTGGTCTGTCGAAACGAAGTCGTAGCTGACACATGCAATTATCGCGAAAAGACCTTAACTATCCTTTGGGATTAGGGGTCCGATAACAGTTGTTCGCATCTATTCGCGAATTCGATCTCTTAACGGAATTGCATTAAGGCATTTACCGCAACGTCGAGGGACGCGAATAGAGACAAAGCGAAGAGCACGTATACAACAAGAGAAACGAAGAGAAAGAAAAATGCCTCGCGTATATAGGAGTTTCCCAGGACAGATCGGTGCGATCGAAAGGAAGAGGCTTAGCAGACACGGAGAATCGTTTTGCATAATAGATTCCGTGCCGCTTGCACACGCTAGTGCAAATAGCAACGAATACCTCGGCGCATTCGATGTAACAATCGAATCGGTAATCAAGCCGGTCTCGATAATCGAATCAGATCGGGTACACGTGTAATTGAAATTTCACAGTCGACCAGCGCAAATACCGTGGCGCGCGCAACCATTCTTCGAAATTACGCCACTAAATTTCGTTTTGCTTGTCGGCGACAGCGATGACCGCTCGGAGGACGGAAATTACGCCCACGGGAATTCCAATAGCAAACACGTGTTCGATCTAAAGACTAATATAAATTCACACAGATAAATGAGAATGAAATACTAACTTTCCTGAGAGAAAACTTATTGAATATTTGAAAATTTCAACGTAAAACTTAATTAGATCTCGAGGTAATGAAATCTTAAAGTAAATTTCTGCCGCACTAGGTTTTTGTCCATTTAACTTGAAAAAAAAGAAAACGTAGCTTCCGCACATTTCGTTTGCACTTATTATACTCTTAAATTTAATTCGCCGAAAGCCCCTAACTTTCGACGTCAAGCAACTGCCAGTAATTAACGCTGAATGAAATTCATTAAACAGTTGGTTATTTCATTACCGGCGGATATAATATCGACTTTTCCGCGAATGTATGTAGTTGACAAATTAATTTCAAGCACGTCGTGACTTCGCAGAATTTTCGAGGCGAGAGATGAAAGTAGTAGCGGAATAGCAAATGCGCCTTCCTTCTTTAACCGTTTTGAAACAACAGCAATCGAAACACCAGGCAATACAAGACACGAGTATTCTCGGTTTAAAACGATTAATTACCATAGAGCAGGATAGACACTCAATTATCCCAACCACTCTCGTAACGAAGGCGCTTTTATTCCTCGGGACGTAGCGGAGTCGGTATTGAGGAAGAGAGGGGAGAGGGTTTGTTCGGTGCGCGAGGGTGCAACCGACGCGGCGGATTTTTAACTTGAAAAAGAAAGAAAACAAAAGCGACAGAGAACGAAGAAAGCGCGCCGGTGAGTCCACCCGCCGTTGCCTCCTTCGTGCAAATTGACCCTAGCAAAGAAAGCTCCTTTCGCAAACTATTCGTCTTTCCATCTTTCTCTCCGCGCGCGCAACAACCACCGCCCACATCGCCGGCTTTGTCCTGTGAAAGTCCTGCGAATCCGTGGAGCATGCACGGCCGGAGTAAAGTCTCTTGCAACTCTGTACTGGAGCGAGGTCTTTATTACCGGACGGCTTTCTTCTCTCGATATACGTCCAGGAGCAGAACCTCGAATGTTACATAATTTTCTATAGCTCAGAAAATCTTGTCTTCAAGCGATCACAACGCGTCTATGTAATACACGGCGAGTTCCGGGAATGTCAAACACGGGCTCGATATATCAGACGTGCGCTACAACATCGGTTAGTTTAAATCACGCTTGGTCTGTCGCGTCTGTTCGCGCGCGCGCGTGCGCGAGCTGTACTGAACGTGCGTGAAAAGTGTCGACGCAGATGACTGATGACGCTCGTAAAACTAAGTGAAAAAAGCACTTGTGAAGTCCGCAAATTAGAAATGAAAGTACGCGTTTGTGAGCCGATGGTTTACGTCCTCTTTGCATGCAGAAAGCGCCGGCAACAGTCACGCTAATGACAAATTTTGAAATTAATTCGCAAGCCCCTCGCGTACGTATGTTCTATTCATCTTATGTTTGGTGGCGCGCAACGCACACATCTTTCTTTCTCTTTTTTTCCTCTCTCTTTCTTTCTCCCTCTACGATGTTATTACGATGTAAACACAAAACTCGCATCACGGAAGAGAGATGCAACGACGACCTTCCGCCGTGTACACACCTGCCTTACGAACGTGCGCACCGAGTTTTTTTTCGAAAGACGGGACACACAGGGAATGCGTAATACGCCGGACAATGCTCGACACGCTTTCCAGCGACTTTGCTTACATTCACGCATGGCCCGCGCCATTATCTTTTCAAAAACGTCCACTTTGTGCCGCTCGCGCGACCCACCTGAAACCTCCGAGAGCGGGGAAACGATCTAACCCCTCTCGCGGATATGAGAAGTTCTTAATTGATCCTTCG